AAAAAAAAAAAAAAAAAAAAAAAAGGAAAAAGAAAAAGAAAGGAAAAAAAAGAAAGAAAAAGTCATTACAAGAAAAGAAAAAAATTCTCTCAACCCCCCCCAAATAAACAATATTACACAATCCATTCAGACAATAGTCAGATTATTCGAATGCCACTTACTGAATCACGTTTACATATGGAATTGTCAGATATAATAACGTACCCCCATATTCATTCTGGCTAATAAAAGCCATCTAAAGCATCTTAAAATTGTCAGTAAATGTAAATGCTAATAATTAAATAACACAGTGCCCGTGGAAGGATGTCATCTGAGCCTTGGAAATATTAAGTCTGTCTGGGGAGAACTTTTAAAGTAGAGACTTTGCTTTGGTAATATAGTAGTTCCATAATTACTCTAATAATTTTAAATTTGGTGCTGAACTCTAGTCTACATAAAAACATGCAGTAATAGCCCACTAAGCTGTTTATTGTCGTCCCATAAATTTTAGAGCGCTGACTGCTAAAATCTACTGGCAAACACAAAAGAAAATTGAAAGTTCAATGTGCGATGGTGGGAGCCCCAGCGCTGCTGCCTGGCGCTCTTCTTAGCTCTACCTTTCACTCCCCCAGCCCCGAGCGGCCACGGAGGGAACCCCGTGGCATTTTAGGCTCAAGCTCGCACCCTACCCACCCTGATCCCTAATCAATAGTCGTGTAACAAGCAGTAATAAACCCTGATCAAGCACGCCTTGATTGGATCGCGCCACTCGTGTTAAATATAGAGTGTGTATCCGAAAATGAAGGCAGCGACTTTCTTGTATTTATTTTGGAGCTATTAAGCCACACCACTATATTTTACACTGCTACAGTTCTTCAAACTATGCTTCTTCTTGAAAGAGTTGCTAAGTAGCAATAAAGCACTTTACAAACGCTATGACATTTTTTTTTTTAATTTGTTGTTATCCCGAACTCTAATATTCATTGCGGCACTTTAAGTTCGTACATAAATCGTTCAGACTAATGAGTCATAGAGAAAATCGCCCATGACTTTTCCTTTACAATGCTCGCTGCCTTACCATCGTTTTTTTGGCCCTGCATTAGAGCCGGTGATTTATTAGCKCCAGGAAAATTGAACAAAGCAGGTCCCCCTGCACTGTGGCACCCAGCCTTCCACAGTGTGAATTAGGACATTATCAAATGTGTTTGCCTCGGTAACACTTAATCACCAAAAGCCATAATGTGACCACAAGGTAGCTAAAACAAAGATCTAACATTTCTAAATATTAAACTTGTTAAGCAAATGCTCAGCAGACAAAGCAAGCACAAACAATTAAAGTCATCAAGCTAGAAATACGCACTCCCTACTTACCAACACAGACCCTACTGCTTGCTTAAGAAGTTTAGAATCTTTCAAGATAAATCAAGATAAATTTTTAAATGAGAAAAAAAAAAAAAACGAAAATAAAGAAAAACAAACTCCAGTAATAAGGAGTTGAGTTTCACTTGTGAGAGAATCACTCCTAGTGAGGACTGACGGCCACAGATCCATTCCTGACTATCTGCATTAATTATTTAATGAGTCACGTGACCATAAAGATTAAAATTTCAATATCTCCGGCAGAACAGGCGCAAACACCTTTAGCTGCGAGCGCAGCGCTCCCCGGGCGCGGGTACCCCCGTCTCTGCTGCCTTTGACAGCTCCCGGGCACCTGGGGAGCGCGGGTCTGTCCCACTTCGCAGGGAATTGGGGCAGCGCTTCTTCTCCCCGTCCACCTACCCCTCCACCCAACCCACCCACCCCCCCAAAATCAGCCCTTTGAATCCAGACCTTCACTCAGCAGCCTGTGTTAACACGGGGGCGGGGGGGCACTTAACACTCCTGGCACGGGGAAATAAACTCGAATCGGGGCCGGTGCCCCCGGGGCTGCCCTGTCAAGCGCAGGTCAGGATTGCCTTGCGCGGGTTAGGATTGATTTACGCGGGTCAGGATTGCCTCGCAYGGGTTAGGAGTGCCTTGCGCGGGTCAGGATTGCCTTGCACCGACCTTACGGAGGCGGGGGCGCAGAGGGCCACGGACCCCCCTCTTTTCCCCCGCGCAGCTCCGCGCAGCGCCTGGGGGTCTCCGTGGGCAGGCGCGGGTGGCCCGCGGGCGCGCAGGGCTGCGCGGAGCCCGTCCCGCCGCKCTGGCTCCAAGGGAGCTGTGGGAAAGGTGGGAAAATTCGGGGCGATGMGGCCCGGGCTGCCAGCCCCAGGCAGGCCCGCGGGGCGACACTGGGTTCAGGACTAGCCTGAGCAGGTCCCTGCCTGTGCGAGGGCTCCTCCACCCTCCGCATTTGCAAACTGAGTGTCCATGGGTCACCCAGCAGGCTGAAAAGAAAGTTAAAAAAAAAAAAAAAAAGTCTCATATTTGGTTAAGCATCCAATGCAGAATGTCTCTAGTTATTAAATACCACAAGGCGCTTGTCACAGCTGAGTTCCCCCTGTAATAAAACACCAGGTATAGCAAGACATTATAGGAGAAAGGAGGAGGGAGACCTTGGGAAAAAAAAAAGACCATTTTTTTCTTGAGAGGGAGGTGGAGGGAAGGTGGGTGATGGGGCTAAGGATGCTAGTGTGACTCGGGGATGATTTTGTCTTTGAAATATTGACCAACTTCCACTTCCAGCATTTTGGGCCGCGCTCGCCTTTGTGGCAGGAGCAGATAAATACGTGTGTGAGACACCGGGAGAACAAGCGTGAGGCAGGGAGAGAAAGAGACCTTTAGGTCCAAGTGCCGGCTTAAAAAGAATACTGTCTTTAAAGGTCAAGGGTTTGAAGGGTCAGTCTGCTCCTCTAAAAAAAACAATTAATGGGATAGAAAATTTGTCCTCTCGGTGAACTCCTGGTTGCCTTAGCAAAGGCAGCACAATGCGAGAATTTAAACTGGACGATGTAATTTTCCAAGTTATTGTAAGCCGGGCGGTATGGAGCTGGGAGCAGAAGGGCCTCCCATCCCGGGAGTCACTGCTGGAGGGGTAGAGGGGGAAGGGGGTATAAAGGAAAAATTACCTTAAGTGAGGATAATCGGCCATGGGGTATTTTGCAGTCCACGGTTCAATCTCCAGCGAGTGAGTGTACATTTTTTTAGCAGACAGCCAAGATACTGTGTCTTTACACATGACCACTTTTTTTTTTTTTTTTTTTTTTTTTTTCCAGGAAAATCCTTTGCGTCTTCACAGACTTTTCCAAGAGAATGCCTTTCAGAACGGCTGTTGAATTACAAAGAAGTATTTATTGTAGGAGGTGATTAATGATTCCCGCTAAAATTGCTATTTGCAGCGTGATTTCATTTCTCTTTACAATGGGAGCGGAACAGGTTTGTGCGCATAGGCTGCACACTAAAGAAATCCTGCATTGCCAAATAATATGTTTCGAATGTGTTTTTTTTTTTTTTTTCTTGCTGATTTTGGCTAATTTTGACTTTAATCGAGGAATTCCTAAGCAATAAACAAAGAGTTCCACGACTGCAGATAGCAGTTACTTACAGCCATATATCCCGCTTCCTTTATAAGGTGGCAGCTRGCAGCTTAGGGCTTAGCAAACAGCAATATGTGAGTGGGAGCACGCTCCTCGGGCCTGCTTGGGGGTCACTTTTGGAGACAGCACTGTTTGCTAAGTGTATTTGCACCCGCCACATCTTTGATGCTGAACATACTCTGCCAGTGACATGTTACATTTTTCACGGAGGCAGAGCGCGCTCCTTGCGCAGGCAGCGATGCTCGCAGTAGTGCTGAGCGCTCCAATTTCTTATTGGGGGGGGGGGGG